CATCAAGAGCCTCACTTATATATTCATCATCACCTGCAATTTCTTTATTTAACTCAAGAGGATTTCCCCCAAGGTCTACAATCTCATCAAAAGTAACATGAATAGATTCTTCTATATTCAAAGTTCTTCTATTAAACACCCTGTAAGTCTTGCTAGTTAATGAATAACCTAAGAAAATGCCCTCATCGGCTTTTGAGTCAAATTTTCCTAAGTTGTCCTTTCCATTATTTAATACAAAGCACTTACATCCAAATATCTTTAAATGAGCAACATTAGGCTTTCTACCATTTAACAATTCATAGGGATTTGATTTTATAATTGACCTAATGAGAATTCTATTTAAAACATAACATGCAGTACTAACCGCATCAGCCCAAAAATATTTAGGAACATTAGATTCATTTAACATAGTTCTAGCAAGTTCCTCTAATGACCTATTTTTCCTTTCAACTACACCATTTTGTTGGGGAGTCCTAGGAGCAGAAAAGTTATGTAATATTCCATTTTCTTCACAATAACTTTGAAACTTTTCATTTTGAAACTCACCACCATGGTCACTTCTTAAAACTTTAATTCTTAAGTCTTTCTCATTTTGAATTTGTTTTGCAAATTTTCTAAAGACTTTAAAGGCTTCACTTTTCATAGTTAGGAAAAATGTCCAAGTATATCTAGAGTAATCATCAACAATCACAAGTCCATAATAATTTCCACCAAAGCTTTTTATCCTAGAAGGTCCAAATAAATCTAAATGTAATAATTCTAGGGGTTTTGGAGTGGAAATAACATTCTTTGTTTTAAATGATGATTTTACTTGTTTACCTTTTTGACATGCATCACACAATCTATCTTTTTCAAATTTTAACTTAGGCAAACCAATAACTAAGTCTTTTGAAATCAATTTGTTCAAATGATGCATATTTATATGAGCCGCTCTCTTATGCCATAACCAAGGGTTCTCTTCCTTAGCAACTAAACATGTTATACTAGAATCATGTAAACAATCCAAATCAATCAAGTATATGTTGTTATGCCTAATGCCTTTTAATTCTACATTTTCGGAATCTATCAAATGTATGGTGCAAAATTTACTTTCAAAAATTACCTTAAATCCTTTGTCACATAGTTGGCTTATGCTAAGGAGATTATGCTTTAGTCCATCAACAAGAAGCACATCTTTAATCTCCAAAGTGTTTGCACCACCTATGTTTCCAATTCCAAGAATCTTCCCTTTGTTGTTGTCCCCATAAGTTACATATCCTTGTTCTTTAGCTTTGAAACTCACAAATTTTGATTTATCACCGATCATATGCTTTGAGCATCCACTATCAAGATACCACATAAACTTCTTTGATTTGGAAGTTTCCTACAAAACAAGAACATAGTAAACTTAGGTCCCCATAACTTTTGGGTCCTTGGGGTTAGAGACAAATAGATTATTTAACAATAGGAACTCAAATGTATTTACCTTTAGGAACACCAAAATGTTTAATTTTACATTTATTTGAAGTGTGACCTTGTTTCATACAATAAAAACATGCTTTTGATGTAACTTTTGAATATGATGAATTTTTAACCATAGATGTTCTAGTTCCTTTTTCTACCCATACTCTTTTATTTTTCCTTTTAGGCTTTTTCAAAGGAACTTGATAATTTACATTATTTTGAGTAAAAACAGTTTTATCCTTCTTAAAATCACTTATCTCCTGTAGATGATTAAGAATATCTATGTCATATTCATACTCTTTACAAGTTTCACATGCTAAGTTCTTATCATCATTCTCATCTAAACTTACAATTTTCGTTTCTAAGAATTCCTTTTCTTCTAAACATGTGATTTTCATTTTTAAAGAGTCAATTTCCTTTTCGGATCTACTTAAATTCTTCTTCACAACTTTATATTCATTTTTCAAATTCTTAAAATCACTAAACAGTTCATTATATGCATTTTGCAGTTCATTATAGTTATTTTCATCATCACTAGAAGATGAGTCAGAAGTACTTACCTCAAAATCGGAAGATATGTTGTCATTTGCCATTAAGCAAATATTTGCTTCAACTTCTGAGTCACTTGATTCCGAACTTGAATCACTGTTGTCCCAAGCAATATAGACTTTCTTCTTGAAGAACTTTTTGCCTTTGATTTCATCGTTTTTCTTGTTTGGACATTCGGTCTTTACATGTCCTGCTTCACCACAACCATAACATTTTATATTTATGGAAGTACTTTCTCTTACTTTTCCCTTACCTTTGAATGGATGCCTTCCTTTTGCTTTCATGAATTTGGTGAACTTCTTTATCATAAGACTCAATTCTTCTTCTTCGTTTTCCGAGTTTTCTTCTTCCTTTTTATTTTTACCTTTGGAAATTTCGGTTTTGAAGGCTAAGTTCTTCTTTTGATATTGTCCTTCTTCTTCATTTAGCATTCCAAGCTCAAGCTCATGCTCTCTTAGTTTTCCAAATAGCGCCGCCATAGACATTGTGGCAAGATTTTGTGACTCTGAGATGGCCGCCACCTTAGGTTGTCATTTCCTATCCAAAGATTTTAAAATTTTAACATTCAATTCATCAATGTCAAAGATTTTACCTAATCCGGTGAGATGGTTCACAATATGAGTGAAACGCTTTTGAACGTCGAATATCGTTTTGCCTTGTTGCATCCGGAACATCTCGTATTCTTGGATTAGGGAATTTTTCCGTGCTCTCTTAACGTCGTTGATACCTTCGTGGGTCACTCTTAGCATTTCCCACATCTCCTGAGCACTTTTACAAAAAGAAATCCTGTAAAACTCGTCAAGGGTTAAAGCAGATGAAATTATATTTCTAGCCCTAACGTCAAATTGTGCTTTTCTGTTTTCCTCTGTAGTCCATCTAGAAAAAGGTTTGGGAACATCAACACCGTTCTCGGTAACTTTAGGAACATATGGACTGTTTAAAATAGCGTCCCAAACGCCTCTATCAACAGACTCTAAAAAGATTTGCATTCTTACTTTTTAGAAAGGATAATTTTGACCCGCAAAAAGTGGGGGTCTGTTGATAGACGCATCTTCGGCAAAAGTTTGATTTTGTCCGGCCATTTTCGAAAAGTTTGAATGACTATCAAAGCAAGCTCTGATACCACTTGTTAGAATCGCGCAGCGGAATGTTCGCGTGATCGGACAAAAACCAAGAGGGGGGTGAATTGGTTTCTTAACAAAAATTAGGTTTTCAAAATTTTCCCCAAATTTTACCGATTAAAAACTGTGTAAATGTAAATAGAGTAGAGATAGAATCTTACACAGGAGATTTATACTAGTTCGGATCAAAAGACCCTACGTCCAGTTGCTAATCACTCAAACAGAGGATTAACGCTGTCACTATAATCACAATTGTTACAAACAGATTACAATGGAAAAGATAAAGTAAAGAAAACACCTCTCTTGAAATCCACAAGAGATGAAGAACAGCTTTCCCTAGAGACGGCACAACACACAATCCACTAAGAACTCCACTTAGTGATTCTTATCGCTTCTAGCCCACACTAGGTTCCAAAAGCCCCTTTTTCTTGCAACAAACAGTTCTCTGGCACTCACAGCACTTAACTTTTGTATGAAAAAGGTTGTTCCACATTTCTGAGTGTCATAGAGAAGCTTAAGTAGAGAAATTAGGGTTTGGGAATTGGGATTTTCAAAACTAGGAGTCTTGGAATTAGGGTTTTCGAAAATAGGGTTGATTTGAAGTTAAAAATCAAAATCTGACTGAAATAATCGATTAAATGTTAATCGATTATTACAGAGCCAAAATCAACAGAACCCCAAAACTCTCTATTTTAATCGATTAAAAGACCTGTTAATCGATTAACAGGCCTGTTAATCGATTAACAGGTGTGTTAATTGATTAAACCAGTGAGCAGATACAGAAAATGATTTTTCTCACTGTTTTAATCGATTATTTCACCATTTAATCGATTAAAGCCGAGGCACTTTGATAAATTTGAGCTTTTTGAAGCTTCTAAGGTGCAGACTATGTACCGGCTATCTCAAACTCTAATATTACAGACTCAATCTAATCAAAACAGAGTTATTACATTATAAAACAAGTCTTCAACTCTCTAAGTCTTGTGTTCTTGAATCATCATCAAAATCAACAAGCTTCATGTCCATGTAAGTTCAACATCAAGTCCTTGAATGTTCAACACCTTAAAATATTTTCTTGGATTGCAGTATCTAGATTCAAGAAAGGATTTTTTTTTATCTTAAAGAAAATATGTCTTAGACCTATTACAAGAAACGTGTATGTCAACCTGTTAGCTAGCGAATACACCAATAGAGGAAGGTTTGAAATTATCTATTACATTAGATCAAGTCCAAGTTGATAAATTAAAGTGTCAAAGAATTGTAGGGAAGTTGATGTACTTAGCACACACAAGACTAGATTCGCCTACGCATTAAGTATTGTTAGCCAATTTATGCATAATTCTAGAAAGCAACATATGAATGCAATTATGCATATTTTAAGATAAATAAAGTCGACATCTGAAAAAGGATTATTGTTAACCAAATATACAAATTATCAACAAATTGATGTATATACTGATGCTAATTGGGTTAGATAATTAAAAGATAGAAGATCAACATCATGTTACTTTACATTTGTTGACGATAATCTTGTTACATGGAGAAGAAAAAACAAAGTGTGGTCTCTCAGTCAAGTCAAAAGCTGAGTTTAGAGGTTTGACACTTTAAATTTGTGAAGGTTTATGACTAAGATTTCTCTTGCAAGATCTTGGATACTCATCTACACAATCTATTAAATTATATTGTGAAAACAAAATTGCTTGTGATATTGCTCATAATCCAGTATAACATGGAGCCACACGTCAAAACTAGTTACACATAAATCATGCATCTTATGATGATTGGTGACACAACCACTAGGATTGGGTCGTACGCCTCAAGATGCACCTAAGCTTGACTTCATAAGACAAAAAGGTAACGAATGTTACCACAATAATGGAATCATACATGTTCGTGCAAGACCGAATAGTATCCTTGAACCCACTCCTTCTTATGTCGCCCTATCTTTACTTGATGTATTCTTTTAGCTTGTTCGAAGAAGTGAGCTTCTCGGACAATGAAAGAGTGCCCGCAAAGACACTTAGACGCTCAAGTCAAACAAGGATTAAGTGATGCAATAAATGCTAATTGTAATGAGTAATGCGTACCTTGAAATTTGAACTATTTATAAATTTTCTAGTGGGCCTTTTACCTAGTCCAATTATTCCTTAATATTCAATAAACTTGATTACTTGTGTTCTTACTAGGCTAAAGGAGGTCGGGAAAAGGATATGTGGTTAGACTGAGGAGTTCGATAGATAAGATTCTTAGATGTGACTTCAAGATGATTAAAAGTAGCTTTCTTTGAAAAGAGTAGAGACACACTTGTAAAAGGCACTTCAATGCTCAAGTGAACTTTTAATTCAGAGAGTAATGTATTTGAGAATGAGTGAGAAGGTCAGGAAGAACCTACTTGTGCTACTTTGAACTAACTTCTTGTCTTGAACCCTCTCGGTACAATACCCACTATTATAAAATGTAAGTGTTATGACCACTTATGAATTTTATTTATATATAAGAGAGTAAAAAAATAAAAGATAAGACTCATGCTTAAACCCTAAGATATTATGTAATTTATAGGAAATTCAATTATATTGAATTTGAATTCTTTTAATTTTAAATGATTTAATTTTTCAAATGATTTGCATAGGCAAGACACTATAGTCAAAATCGAGAGGAGAATCGTCAAATGATTCCACGATTGTGCACCCTATCATCATTCTAGTTCCCACACGAAACTGGAACAGTGTAGGATCGTTGGAATCACCGTCGAAAATCGAAAAAACATGTAGAATAACAATCTGGGTTGCATTGCATATTGGGGTTGTGTCACAAGTTGGGGTTGCGTCATTGGTTGTAAGTTAGGGTTATGTTGTTGATCGCATGTTGCGGGTTTCGTTTGAAGTAGTGAAAAAAAAATTAATTGTATTCTCTTCTAGTGTAATATATAACATTTCCTTGTGTTCAAAATTGTTGAAGAATAGGCTTTTCATTTCATGTGTTGTGCTCTATTCTCTTTTCTAGTCATCAACTCTACAATTGGTGCTTGCTCCCTTCTCTTTATTATCATCTCCGCATTTAGGCTTTAACCATCAAGATTTATATTTATGACTTAAGTCTTTGGTTTATGACATGGTTTCTTTCTTCTGTTTTATAATGAAATTATGTGTATTTTGAAATGTAACTTAGTATTTATTTGATTATTGTTTTATATTATATAAGAGTAGGATCTATAATTTGTGTTATGATCCCACAATTTACGATTTTGTGGACCCCTACTATCCCCGTCATAATCTCAATTTTGACAACCATGGACAAAACAATTCAAAGTTATTAAATTTTAATATTCTTATTTAGATAAATTATTTCAACTATTTTCAAATATAAAAATTATCTTTATTAGATTTGTGAATTAGGTTCAACTTACACTACTTAATCTTTACCGACATGAGTCAGATCTGGACTGAGATGAGGCATAATAAACTAGATTGAATCAAGTCAGATTGGGATAACCTAGACTAATAAAGTCAAATCTTGTTAAGATAAACTATACTAAATCAGAAAGATTGAATCTAAGTCAGGTTAGATTAATAGGTTAAAATGAATGAAGTTATATTAAGTTATGTTGAGATGAATCAAATTGGATCAAGATAAATCAAACCATGTCAAATTGAATTTACTCAAAATAAGTCAAGTCATGTTGTAACTAAATATAATAGAGTAAGATAAGTTAAGTTAAACCAAAATAAAATGTATCAAATCAATAATGATCAGATTAAGTAGATATAGATTGAGTTAAAAAAGATCATCCCTACTTTTAAGTAATCAAATTAAGTTAAAATACGTCAAATCAAGATGAGTAAACTAGACCAATACAAAATAAAACAAATTAATAACAATCAAATTAAGATAATTTAAGTTAATTCAATATAAATCAAATCAAGTTATATTAAATTATATTTATTTAGATTGAACAAGATCATCCCATGTTAAAACAAGTAAATATGTAAAAAATATATATAAAAAAGAGATATAAATTTAAAGAAGACAAAAATATAAAAAATTTAAAACTCTTACATTTTAGATAAAATTTAAAATTATTTTATTTTAAGTAATCATAATACCCTCGTTAATTTCTAAAATTTTAATTATTTTCCAACTTCTTTATCTAACATATTTTGTCACAAAATATTTTAAGCTTTATTAAAATGAATTATCCTTTATAAATTACTCGTCCAAACACAAGGTAATGTTCGCCAAATAACATGCTTAGTTTAACAAGTTCATAGGGCAAATTTACTGGCTTACATTGAATTTATCCAATGTGTCTTGTAATAATAACAAGAAACTTGTACACTGAATAAAAAAGAGAGAATACACATAAGTTGGACTTGGATAACAAAAACTTCTGATCGAATGCTTTAATCAGTTCTAATGTGCAGGATGGTGCGGATGGGACAGTTTGATGTTCATTACCCAATAGAATTCTCATGTAATAATACATATTCTCGACTGCATTAGAAAAAAAGTGTCAATAATAATAATAATAATAATAATAATAATAATAATAATAATAATAAAGAATATAATAAGATATAAAATCCATTCCTGCGAAATATCAAGAGGTGAAGAGGCATAACACAATTATCGACATACTTTGAATGGTATATATCGGCATAACAAAAAAAGAAAACTCAGTTGCCTTAACATGCCTCAGACATGAGAATTTTCAGTCACACTTTAAGCCATTCTGACACTACTTAATTCCATATATATTCAAATATTGTTATTATCAACATTTGTTCTTCCCTTTTAAAAGTCAAACCTTCATTTCCCTCTAATCATGGAATCTTTTTTCATAACAGATTCCTTCTTCAATCGAAAACCTCATTACCAAAATAATTTAGGTTTAAAGAAATGAATGATAAATATTACATATTAATAAAGCCATAAAATATAATACTTACCTACTATTACCAAACTTAATGGTGTCCTTTTCCCTAAGTTCGTAATATCGTTGAGGTTCAATGGGAGTATCCTGCAAAAGCAGAAAGTATCACAAATAGTCTCTCTCAATATAACTTCAGCTCATTCATTACTACCAGAACAAATAAACATAAACAAAGAAACTAATCAAACTATTTAAGGCATTCAACGAACACTCACATTTATTAAAGTTTTGTTTGTGCTTCCAAGGTCCATAATGTAAGGCCTAGAGCAGAACATATGATATTAGGTTTGCCCATAGAGAAACTTTTAGCTATACACGAGGAGTACATAAAAGTATGAATCAGGCATTACCTTATTTGTTTTAATAATGTACCATCAGGTTGCTCCTTTTCAACTTGCCTAATAAGAAAAGGAATTTAAAAAAATTCATAAAATACTATTATTAAAATACTGATAACCAAAGGAACCTTGTGTGTTGCTTAAAAAGATGAAATACCGGAATTGAATAACAGCATGTTGTTTGCTGCAAGATGGATGATCTGTAGGGATATCAGCAACCCTTCTTTCCCTTCCAAAAAGATAACAACTTTGGCGATGTATGTAAAGGGGCTCTGTACATCAGTCATACACAATTTTTTAAGCAACAGTAGGTAGAAAGCAAAAAAAAAAAAAAAAGTTCCGTGGAAGTCAAGAAAGTTGTAATGCCATTAACTAATTTTTAATTTAACAATAAAGCTGCAAAATTGATTTTTTTTTTTTTAAATTAAAACTAACTGCTAAAAATTTATTGGAAAAAGAAAGGAAATGGTAGAGACAAAAGCATAACATTAAGCATGAATACAACCAAATGTGGGGTAGTAAAGGAATTCAGACATAGAGCCCATCTAACTACAAGAAGCTCACCCAAATGCATAATGTGTTGAAAACTTATCAAATAAATTGCAAGTAAAAATCTACGGCATTCATGACAAATAGAGTAAAACCGAATGGTGAGGACCGAGCAACCAGAGATTACTCTTATCAGTTAAGCACAGTTCTTATGTACACAACCGGCAAAATTGTCCAGGGCTGGGGGATAATTATAATACAAGAAACAAAAAGGAAAGTGAACAATATAAACCAGAAAAATTCATGGTCATAATGCATGGAAAATGACAAATAAAAACAATTTGAAATTGAAAACACCAGAAAGTTAAGAAAAAAGTTAAAACTACAGGTCTGTCATGTGAGAAAGCTCTCAAAATATTGACAAGGGGCATACAAGTTTGACAGATGTTATATGCAGAAGCCATAAACACTAACCATTTAGCACTTCACCACCCTTGAAAACATAAAGCCTCCATTTAATATCTGGTTTTCGAGCCTCTGGTGGTTCATTGAATAACAATGTAATGCCTGAAAAAGAAATACTGTTCATCATACAATTAAAAATGAACGATAGACAATAAAGTCAATATAGATAGTTTTATATGTTAAAAAATGGTTAGTTTCACCTCTGACTCGATTTGTTTCAGCTGCAAGATTTCCAGATAGCTCAAATGAAGGTTTTTGCTGCAACCGTGCAAACAACAGGTTTCAGAAAAGCCAACAGTTGTCAATCACTCAGAAATGTCCTTATTTATTCAGAGATAACAACTGTTAATTTTTAAATCATATTATTTCCACTATTTTGCATTGGGTTCCAACTCAACTCAATTTAATAGATACAAATTAAGTATTGGACAAACAACTAACTTTGAATTCAATCAACATAAAATAAATGTTGTCATAGTGTTTTCAACATTAACAATACTTAAATCTCCCTCCCTTTTTCATTTTAAATCAAATGTCTTTCAAGTTTCAATGGTAAAGTTTATCTAAAACATTAGTTAGTAATATCTCAAGCTTGGAATGCCTCATTCGAGCCTCCATAATGTAAAAGGACACATGATTCAATATCATTGAAACTAGTAAAAAAAAAAAACAGTACCAAGTATTTCATACAACATCTTTGTTAACGTTCTTTGAGAAGAACAATCTCTATCAGACACAAGATTGTAACAGAAAAGCCAATTATTACCTTCTGTTTTTCTTCCAAAGCCTCCTCAGCAGCCTTCATTTTGCTCATAGAATCATTCTCCTCATCCCTGCCACAGCAGCAATTAGAATGTCATCATCAAAAGCTATACCAACTAATTCTGAATTATTAAAAAACATAGCATCCAAAGTTCCACACTTATAAGCATAGAGGAGAAAGAAATACAAGAAACGAACTGAGGCCAAGAAATGAGCTAATGACATTTCAGTTTCAATACCACTATTTTGACCATTCAACTTTATTAAAATGAGGGTGCTGAGGTCCTTATATTCCATAACTGAGGTTTGACCATTAATTTTCCTCTTAAAACAGGGACATCCTCTCTTTTCATTTATAGACATAAAATTGTTTGGAACCTACTACATTTAATTCGTAGAAAGTAATATATAGCTCTGCATGATATTCCAATTTTTACTATTCAACCTGATGTTCTCACAAACATAAAGATGTTCTACAATATGTTAAGGCTCCAGGCTGCCTAAAAATATTATTTTACAAAAATACATGAGGTAGCATTTTTATGTACAATTATTCATCCAATCAAAGATAAGCAAAGACGGGGAGAGAGAGTCATAGAATGTTAAAAATGAACAGCTTAAGGACCAAAAGATTGCAGCATTTTTTCTAGAAATAGATAAATCAAACCAAAACCAACAATCAAACATTATGGTAAATAAAATTCAGAGTTCAACAGAAACTTACATTTCTTCTTCAGCTCCTCTTGAGTTTATCATCTTCAAAAGTTAAACAGCAATCCATATAAGTATTAATTCTAGAAAATAGTTAAACCTTAAGAAAGAAAAAAGTTCAAAACAGGAAAAAGGAAAACACAAAGATTGGAAAATGAAAAATTAAATGCCAAAGTAAAGAATAGTAAATCAATCAACATTTTGTAATCAACAGATTATCATCATCGGTCTACAAATTACTAATCACTCATGCATCATGTTTATAAGCTTATCATCCTCACACTCACTTATGACTTATCAAATGAAACTGCTGATTAGTACTAAAACCAAAAGCTTCCCATGAGCAATGCAACATTTTAAACTATAATAACCTCCATAAGTCCAAGGTGACCTCACCTTAACCCCTTATTTAATCATCAATGCCACAATATCCAAAAAAGCTTACGGGATAATAACAGTAAGCAACATGAAATAAACATGTACTCAAAAAATAAAAACCAATACTGGATGAGGCAATTTTCTTAAATTAAAGAAAAATATCAATGTCAAATTCAAAGTACCGGTACAATTTCTGTCAACGCTGCCCTTTTCTTGATGTAACGTCTAAATAGAAAAAAATGCACTTCAACTGAAAACTGACTTCTAATAGGTTGTCAAAAGACAAGCTAAAAGAATAAGAGCTCTCAAAACTTCTACAGTTGGAGCCCCTACCTTAATCACTTAGCCCGGTACAAACCATAATTACAATAAAAATAGCATGCTTGTCCTTTTTTAATTAACATATTTCCACAGTACCAATATTTAACTTAAAGCCACCCTTAGAAAATCATCAGATAGATCCTCAAAGCCAAGTTAAGTAAAATTCCATCCTCACATAACTCAACTTTCACCCTCATTCTCAAAATCCCCTAATCACACAAACACTTGTTTTGCCAAACTCTCTGAGATCGACTCATACATCTGAAGAAGCTTCACATTTTCTCAAATTATCTTCAAAACTAAGCACTCCACAAATTCAATGGACATCTCGAAATACCTAAATTCCCACACCCTACGCATGCCGTCTAGCAAAAGTCACTACAACCGTTCAGCAGGGTTCCAACCACAACATCTCCCATACCACATACTCACCATTTCACTCCAACAACAGCATTAAGAAAATGCTTCAGATTCTACAATTCAGCAAAACAACATAAACATACCAAACATAAGCAAAAACAACTTCAATTACAGAAGAAAAAAAAAAAAAAAAAAAACTCGAAGAAATTATATGAACTAGGGTTGGATATCACCGGACACCTCATCACGAGGCTTTGCATTCCCAGAGGAGGCGTGATGACGTGGTGGAGATTGAGACCTATGCCGACTCCTCCCATTGCGCTCGAGCTCCGGTGACCTCTCGTGCCTCGACCGCGAAGATTTATTACTCCTTCCACCACCATCTTCGTTCTCCGTCCTCTTTTCCGATTTGCTACTCCTTCCACCACTACCGCCACCGCCGTCGTTCTCCGTTCTCCTCTTCTCCCTCCGCTCAACCGCGTCCCTCTCCGAACCTCTCCCTCTGCTACTCCCACGGCTCCTCTCACTCTCACGATGCTCGCGCTCCGTCTGAGTTCTCTTCAACCGCTTCGTTCGCGGAGACAGAGAGCGCGAGCGAGCAGGGGAATCCGGTGAACCGGAACCGGTCCGAACAGGCTTGGCTACGCTGCGGCCAGAACGCTCGTGCTTGTCTCGCGACGGCGGAGAGACGCTACTGTGGGTCCGTTGACGGCGGGAGGAGGGAGAGTGGGTGCCGGAAGAGTGACGGCCCATAATTACTACGACGGTCCTGAGTGACACAGAATCGAATTGACAACGTCAATTTACCAACGCAACAATGTTAAGAATTGTAGCATTGTTTGTTTGTTATGGCTTAATCGTTCTGTAACCGCGATTCAGATTCTCTATTGTGTGGTGAGTTCAGTGTTCCGTGGTTTAGGGTTTATCAATTTGAGTTCAGCCAGAGAAGAGAACCATTTCATTTCTTCTTTTATCTGTAAATTTTCTTTTCTCATTTCTTTATATGATTCCATTTTATCTAGGTAAGAAATAGAAACTATAATTTTAACGGATAATATATTTAATATTTATTATATAAATAAATAAAGCTTATAATACATAAATATTTGTAAATATATACATTATCATTATTTTATATCATAAATAAACTATAATACAAGATTTATCAATTATAAATTTAAAAGATTAAGAAATATTTTTTCTGGTTAGCGTAATCGTGAGGAATTGAGGTTTAAAATAATTTTTTAGAAAATACTTAATACTAAAAATAATTTTTCAATAAATATTTTAAATTATAATTTAATAATATTTTTAACTGCTTATGACTTTCTTTAAAATTTTATTAAATTTTAAATTATTGAATTAATGTATTTTAATTGATAGGTGTTATTGTAAAAAAGAAGTAAAATAAAATTATAAATGAATATAATTTAATAGTTACTGTCTTTTTGTTTTCATTGTGAAATTCTATATGACTACAAACTGAATAACAAAACAATATATAGGTAGAAAACGAGAATGTAAATTAAGAATGTAATAAAAAATAAGGTTGTCATATTAAAAAATCTGATCTATGCTAATTAAAAGTATTATATTGAATATTGATTTAATACTGTTATATTATGAGAATTTTTCTAATTTTGACGAATAGATTCTAAAAAAAATAAAAGCAGTACGAAAGAAATAGATATTAAGAAATCTTAAAAACAAAACTAAGAGAAGAATAATTTGAAATGATTAAGAAGTACTTTTATCGGTTGGCATAGCGTGTGAAAAAAAAAATAGTCTTAAGATAATTTTTCAGAAAAGAGCTAATGTAATAATTAAAATAATTTTATATTATTTTTTTATTGTAAAACTATATATCAACGTTTTTGTTATTAATTTTCAAATATATATATTTTTTAATTTTTAAAAACAGAGTGACATTTTTAATTGATATTTTATATTAAGACAATTCAAAGCAATAAAATAAAATAATATTAACGTTACAAAAATATTACAAAATAAAAAGAATTTAAAGTAATATGGAAGTCTGAACCCGACCAGTTGATCAAATAAAAATAATTTATTAATCTAGTTTAACCTATATTTTAAAATAAATAAAAAATTTAGTTTAATTTGATGTTATATTAATTAACAAACTATTTTTAACTTGATTAAAATTAAAAAAATATATAAAAATATTATATAAAATCAGTTAATTAAAAGATACTTCAATAAAAAATATATTTTAAAAATTTAAATTTTATTAATAAAATTATTTTTATTAAAATATAATAATTTAATATATAAATTATAAAAAAATAATTTATAGATAAAATTAAAAACTTATTTTTTATTATTTTATTAATAAAATTATTTTTTATTAAAATATAATAATTTAATATATAAATTATAAAAGAATAATCTATTCAATCTCAAAATAAAATTAAAAATTTATTTTTTATTATTATTATTTATTTAATAATTTATAATAATAATTAGTTTTAATTTTTAAATATTAAAATAAGTAATTATTAAATTTTTATGTTAAACTAATTTATATAATATATACCTGTCTTTTTTCTAATAATAATAAAATAATTATTATTTTATAAAACTAATCAATAAACTTATAAATTAGTTTAATATAAGCTTGTATAACTCGTAATCTAAACATGCTAGACAAAATAAATCTAATTTAATTTATGGAAACAAATCTATTTTAACATCTTAATTTGAATTATGAGATTTTCTTTTTAAGTAATTATCTTCGCCGAAAATATCTCAAACTCACATATTCTATCTTAAAGGAAAAATAATTTATCTATTATTAATTTATTATTATTATTATAGAAAATAAAATCTATATTTGGAACAGTACCTTATGCATAATACATAAATTTTATTTTTCTTTATAATATTGAGAATCTATTTAAAAATTAAGATACAAATTAATATTAGTTAAAAAATGTTAATTTCGTAGCGTTTAATTAAATTTTAACACTATTTATTATTGAACCATGATAATAAATCATAATATATGTGAAACATATTTTTAAGAGCTTAAGGTAATACCTAAAAAAGTACTAATTTGTTATTTGTTCATGGTTTTGTGTCTTTTGATTCAAAACATTTTTATTATATATAATATATTATGTTTTATTTGTATTATCATAAATAAATAAATAAATAAAATTATATTTTTGAAAAAGAAAAAGAAAATAATAAATAAAGCTCAATCTTTTGAAACATTTAATTATGAATAACATTTCATTTATCAATTAAAATTTCAAAACATACTTTTACAACAAATAAAAAGGAAAAGAAAATCTCACACCTTTAAACAACAACAATATTAATTAAGTTCCCAAACACAAATTATATTTAAGACACTAACTTTGTCTGAGGTTACAAATGACAATAATATAATCAAAATAATTTGAAGAATATTTAAGTTCAAATGGTTTGAAACAAAAAATACTAATTACAACTAATATATATTGTTTTGAATTTAATTTTAATATACGCAGTCATTATAATCACTATAAATACTTTTATGCAGTACTTGTTATAAAGTTAAAATAGAGGAAACACAGTGCCATAAAAACATTACAACAAAGAAAGTAAAAATAAAATCTTATCAAAATCCTGCATAGAAATTAAAATGTTGATGATAATTTGAATAATATTCCTTCTTCCGACATATAAAGCAGTCCAATAATTCTGTTGATCAAGGGTCGAACATGTGAAGCTGATTGTAATGAGCTTCTGCAAGAAACTGTTCAACAAATTCTTTCATATTTTCTGCTTCTTCTCTTCTCTGAGCAACAATCGCTTCCTGAGAATTTCACAGTAAGACACGAAAGAAAGAGTGTTTAATTCAATTCTGTGAGATAAGATTTATACTTTATCTATATATTTTAAAACATCTTTTTGATCAGTTCTGAAAAATACGAAACATTAAATGTATACTCACCTCAGATTGTGCTTCCATTCTCTCTCTAGCCATGACCATTTCCTGAAAATATATCAGCAATATTTTTAAACAACACTTTATGCACACATTATTCTTTGATTCACAGTTATCCATCATTCTTTGAAAGTTTAAGTAAACACTGGGATAAAACAACTCAAATAATATATTATGGAGATATAAAGAGAATAAATATCTAAGATATTAGGATAATATATCCCTCCACATCAAGACCATTACCCAAATGTTGTTGTTTTATATAAAAATATTGTATTTCCAATCGTATAATTGTATATTCATTTTCACCATTATATTTTTATTAATTAATTAAATATAAAAAAATTTCTATAAATAATATATTTAACTCAATCTTACAAAATCATCCAATTTACTATTTAATAAGATTAGAATATAAGATTATCGTATCTTTAATTCATATAAGATTTCAATATATTTTTTTATAATAAAAAGTATTTTTCATCGTATTATCTCATGTCAAAATAAGTGATTTAATATTGGTTCAATAACAGATATTTATTTCACAAAACAAATAATATTTTACCAACTTTAAAGTAGATCTAATATCATTTTAAACATGATATATATAATTTAATTATATAAAATTGAGTTAGTAAGAGTAAAGTTATATTTATTTATATATTATAATATTATCGTATTCTTAATTTTTAACGTCTAGTATTAAAGAAAATAAGCTCGACTATGTAAAAGTCTAATGAGAACCTTTAGCCAAACTTAGGTTGAAAATGAGTATACTCACTGTGGTTTCATTTTCAGATATATTGCTTCTGTCCATTTTTTCTCGTGCTTTCGCTCTGCCATGCACAGGACGAATGCCATGCTTCTCGTATCTCTCGCACTCTAGCAAAGATCGACACCGAAAGCCTTTCTCCTTATGACGATAAATCTGCAAAACCATTTTTTTTTTTCCTTAAAATGAGTGATCATAAAGAAAGCAAAGATTGAATTCATTCAAAATATATAGCATGTACCACTGTTATAATTAATCATAATCGCAAATGAGATAACATCTTTTTGAAACTCAATCTCAACTTTATCACAATTATTATTATTAAATAAATGTGAGTTAGATGTGAAGAATGCCTATGAATTACTATTAAATTTAGTTCATAACAGAGAAATATGATTTCATTGTAATGTATTTAATGTTATTATATGAGAAACTCAGAATTTATTATTGTGAAAAAGTGCCAAAACTAAGCCATTGTTCATGTTAACTTCAACTCAGCATAACCCAAATGGTACATATTAGATACCTTATCAGTCCTGTTACCATCTGGTCGCAATTTGCATTCAACATCCCAATTTACTATCCATGCAGCTGGTGATTTGGGTCGTCTTCCTCTTTTTGAACTTGAGCTTTGAGTCGCAGGTAGAGTTTCAGTCTAATAACAACACAAAAAAATGCATATAAGTTACACAAAACATTGATGAAAATCATGCAGTACTGAAAGTATCATACCATTGTATCATCAGTGGAGTCTTCTGGAACATTAACAGGAGACATATCTTCTTTTTCCTGATACAAAAGGTGTGTAAATTTATGAATAGATGATAATATATAGTTGAAGTTTGTTCTAGGTTTACATGGTTCCGGAGATATATATTCATGAAAAATCAGCACAGTTTAGTGTAGTAAGTGGATATTTTTGAGAAGGACTAAGAAATTCTCACAAATGATATATAAATTAATCATAAGAAGATATGTTATCAATTTCAATTTAAAACGTGAAGATGTTAAGTTACAATATTTCCTTACTTATTATAAATTACTTATTCTCCCAATTATACTCAAGTAGGATTTCAATTTATTTTGGATGTTCAATAATATAGGACTTTTGACATGTGAAAATAATTGATAGAGTGAAGGAAAATATGATTACATGATACATAAAAGTTTATAATTGAAAAAAATTGGATTATTTAAAAAAAAAAAATTAACTCAGATTATATATATACCTTCTTTGTTGGCTCCACCGTATCATCATCAGAGTGGATGAAATAGTTATTAGGAGGGTAAAATGATATTGGAATTGCAGGAATAACTTCATCATTTTGCTCTAAATGAGTACTCCTTGATGGACTTGTTTGGATTTCCTCCTATATTAACATAAACAGGGATTTAATACGCACATTTCAAGCAGAACATTGAACAATAAATCTTAATTATTTTTATTTTTAATGACAATTTAATTCACAGAGAATTTATAGTTAATAATTTCTCTTCTACATAAGAATAGAAGTGTCATCATACATCATACATATCATTGAATATTTATTATAATAACATTATTAAAATCTTTAATCTGAAAAATTTAGAATGAAGGCTTGATAGATTTATTCATAATTGAGCAATGTAGTTTGAAAAGGTGTGTCCAATAAGGAGAGACTCACAAGTTTACTGGTATAAAGGATACAGACTAACCCTAAAATCAGTTTAATTAAAAACAACTCCTCCTAGTTGATCAAATATAAAAGTAGTAAATTTTTGCAACAAACTTCAATGATATTCATATAAATCTCATCTCATGTAAGTTCCAAGGTTAAGCTGCATCTTTTTCATATTTGTGAGTAAACATTGCAACTCAATAAAAAGTTTAACAATTAGGGTTAAAAATTCGGAAACATTTTGTCTTATTCCTTTTGGCTGAAAACCAATAAATAAATAAATAAATAAATAAATATATATATATATATATATATATATATATATATATATATATATTAATATTAGTTGTTTAAAGAGTTCAAGAGAATTCACTATAACAAAATTGAAATAAAAATAAAAATTTAGAACCCTAATTCTATCAGAAACAGATAAAAGTAACTTGATGTTCATACATGAACTACAATGCACATGATTATTGCTATCTGTAGTAAAAATAAAACCAAACGATTTACTATTTCTTTTTTCATATAACATATTTTGTAGGTAGAAATTAAAAAAAAAAAGACAAATTGAAATAAATGAAATTTGACTTAACAATCATATAATCCCTGTAATAATTTTATCCAAAAAAGTCAGTGCTACCAAAATTAATAACCTCTCGCTTGGTTCATGAAAAATAGCACTGTTCAAGATCTATGTTGTATCTGGATAAGAAATTTTGAAATATTCTGGAATTTGAAATTCTTTACAAACATTTTAAATGTTTTAAGAATTTGAATTGAACAGAACCTTTAATTTAGTTTATATGAAAAAATTATTTTAAAATATCTATTTCAAAAATTGTAATTTCAATAATAATGAAAATAAAGGAGAGAAAAGAGTGAGGAATTATATATAATTTTTTTTTTAACTTTGCACTCAATTTATATCGTAAAATTAATATTTAAATTCTATTAAAAATAATTATCTTTTATTCAACCATATGTTTTTTTCATATGAATATCTATTTCAAATTTTTAATCATACATAAATGATGTTCAGAAAATTTTATACCAAGAGAAATAACATAATCAAAGCAATTGCAGAAATAATAGATAGAAACAAGAAAAATAAAAAAGAAATGGAAAAACATGAAACCAAATCACATTCAATCGAAGTGTCACAGAAACATAAATGAAATGAACATTTGACTTACCTCGTTTGGGCCAATCGAAACATTTGAATTAGAGTTCATGGCAGCCATGGAAATGTGTTGCTACAGAAATTGATGACAGGTTTTGAGTAGCAGCAATGTATTGAGAGGGTCTGTGTTTTTTTACAAGGGTTAAAGTAACTGTTGAATTAAATATAAACATAATTTATTGTTCCTGCTAAACATTTAATTCATAATTGTAATTAAACATATTAATTACATAATTTATGTTTGTAAGATAAAATGTTAATAATAATAAATGTTTTGACTTTCAAATATCACAAATAATAAATGTGAAAACATATTTTTGTAAAAAATCTATACATAAAAATGAGTAAATATTTAATTTTTCTGGCACATTAATATTTTTCCCGATTTAATATGTTTTAATCTTAGACATACAAAAATTATACTATACACTTCCTCTATTTCTTTTTATCTGATATTTAAAGTTTCCTTGCCTATCTTAAAAAAAAAGAATGAATCAGTTATTGAATATATAGATTTCTTTTTGTTAAAAGTGTTCTCATATATACTCTTCTATATTTCATTTTTCATAATTACAGCACATTGAAACATATAATATTACATTTATGTGATTAATGTTTTTATAAATATATAATATTAAGGATTGCTATTTCATATAATTGAGTTGTGATTAATATGACAAATTTAAGTTAGTGATTATTCATTTAGGGTAATATCAAAATAAATTTGTTTATATTGATTCAATTTAAAAATTATCAAAAAACTTAAACAGTAGAAAAAGTGAAAGGGAAATAAGTGCCAGATATCACGTAACTTATTCAGAATTTTGGGGGTTTCATTCATGCCTCTCGAAAATGCTTGATTTAGTACTCCTTGTTAATAAAAAAAGATACATTAAATATTTTTTATCTGTTTTTTAACTAATTAATTAATGTCATATACTATAATAAATAAAAAATTGAACATTAACATTGAAGAAAATTTGCTTAACTTACTAAATGAAAATACATTTTCTATTGTTATTATCCTTCAATCTTTTCTTTGAAGCATTAAACATTTTTTTTTCATTATGCCTTTATTTGGTATATCTCTTATTAATTATTTGTAAAATAAAAAAATTAAATATATTTTTAAAATTTTTAATGTCATTTTTTTAAAATGAATTAATATTAACCCTTCCATATGTTATAAGTTAGTTAGGAAATAAGAAAAAAAAAGGCAATATGATATTAACGTAAACATATTTACTAATGTGACGTTAACGTTTGCAATCTCAGGACAATCAAAATTAAACTTAAGGAGCCCATTTAACCCAAAGCGGAGGCCTTACCAACTGTATGGAAAGCTCTCACCATGGAGAGATTTGGAAAAGGAACAACTACTTATGAACATATTCAATCTTACTTGACTTAAATAATTGTTTTCAAGGAAAATGATGTTTTTCTTTATAAAGATTTCTTCATGACTCCGAAAAGACTAGTCCTTAAATGGTTCTATGACCTTTCCATTGCGTCAATAAAATGTATTAACTCAAAAGTTCTGAGTTAGATTTTGTCGCTGAAAGACTAGACAAATCAACTTCTTTAACCCACAAGGATTGAGACAAGAAAAAAGTGAGTCGATAAGGAAATTATTGGAGAGATTCAATGAAGTGAATCTCATAATCAGTCCTCAAAGTCGGTAATCTATCCTCAAATTTTATCATTCATATAACATTTCAAAATTTATTATGTAAATCTTTTTAAATACAATGTATTAAATTGTAATATTTTGGATAATTTATAATAAAAGCCACATTTATAAAAAAAATATTACTATTATTGTTAAATTGTTATTATAAATAAATAAATATTTAATAATTTTTAAAATTATTAAAAAAATTAATATAGACTATTAATTAACATAAAATAATAATTAATTATTAATTTTAAAAAAATATTATAAAAAGAAAAAAATGATAAGATTGCCTAAGTTTAAAAAAATTGCATTTAATACAAAATAATAATAATAATAATAATAATAATAATAATAATAATAATAATAATAATAATAATAAAATGTTAGTATAAATATATGGCTAGAGGTAGGAGATTTTCACAAAAGAATAGAGAAGAAGAAAGAGAGGGAGAGACTGAAAGGGAAATAAAGAAACGGAAAGAGAGAAAGGGAGTGAAAAAGAGAGAGAAAAGAAAAAAAGAAAAAAAATGAGCAACTTTGATAAAATTTTGGTGTATCATATGTAATTATTAAGATAAGGGAAATAGATATCACTAATGCAAAATGAGTTTTTTACGTCATATGCTTTGTGTTGGACTCCAAAATAATCGACTTAAAAAAATATGGTAACTTTTTTTAAGATAATATATAGCGAGAGATTTTGCCTTGGCTCCAATGAGATTGGATGTATAACTTGTGTTTTAATCCACCTAGGACTTATTCTTCCTCGCGTGCTTGAGGGTTTTTGAGTCGATAACGACTACGATAACACCTCTAGGAGTATTTTCGACCACGGTGAGCAGCGACAACACCTACATTGTGTCTCATTTATGGTGATTAACATTTCTTCCCAATTATATTCGAGTTTTAGAGTGTCTTGTGTATCATTGAGGTTAGTATTCTATATCTTTAGTTTTATGTTTAAATTGAACCCACATAATTGATTTTAGGTATTTCCATCCCACGTCGATCCTTGTTTATTAATTTATATTTTATATTATTTAATTATTTTAAAATTTTCTTAAAGAATAATATTTAGTTATAAAAATTTAATGACATTGTAGATGGAGATTAGATCTTGAGGATTAAAATGAGTAAATATTATTTAAAGAGTGATTAATTTTTTGTTCATTTATTCTGACTAGTCACAACAAATTTAATTTAACTCTTCATAATATGAAATAAATTTAATACGTTGGTGAAATAAAAAAAGTTGATTTGGTATATCATTTAAAGATAATATTATTTATTTTACATGATACTTGTTTTCACTTTCCTATTTTATCCCTTGTAAATGTTCCAAGTAAAAACAAATATCAACTTAAAACAGATGGAGGTGTCAAGTTGGAAAACAAATATCATTGATAAATAAACCACTTTTAGAGGAAATATGCTCGTCAATTTTAATAATTATGCTTGACATAGAAACAATATAAACTTTTAAAGTTCATATATTTATACAAATAAATGTATAAACATTTATTTCATGTCTTACTTTTGTCAAGATTTAATAGAAAAAATAATCACCTATTAAAATATAGTTAAATTAACAACTTAATAAAAGGGACGTCACAAATTCATACCTTAATAAATTGGTTAAGGTGAAACTCATTTTTGGACAACATATATACGGACTATCTAGAATTCATAAAAAAGTTAAGAACTCAGGCTTCTAAATTTATACAACTAGAAGAAGACATCAAAATAAGGAATAAAAGAGACTTTTAGGAAAAATGAGGGCCATCTCATAAATATATAGTTCAGATGAGAGATATAAGAAAGAAGACAAAAGAGAGGAAAGAAGATTTACTCCCCTTAACACTAGTATTGACCCAGTCTTATGAGAAATATGTAATTTAGAGCTTGTCAAATTACGTAAACCCTCGAACACATCCCATATACGGATAAATCAAAGTAATGGCGTGGCACTAAACTTATGGTTTCCTAAAAAAAAAATTTATAAGAAAGACCAAGATATTATAAAATATTTTGTCTGAGCTAAAGCCTTGGATAGATTTATTCAACACTACAAACATGGTCGAGGATATAAATCAAATAGTTAAAGGGGTATCATGGCCAAGGACGAAGATAATATGACAAACGAAGATGAGGACGAGACTATCCTCAAGATGATAGACAACATGACACAGGTCATTCGCATAATGACCCAAATGATGAAGGACATGTTAGAGGACTTCTCAACACCATTATTAGGGGTTTTATAAGTGGTGGAAGCTAAAGCTCAACCAGAAATCATCACTTGAGAGCGGTGCATAATGTTAATATAACTTAATCATTACAATCAATAACATTTCCCCCTATCACTTTTTCTTATGAAGATTTTAGCTCTCATGATCCTCAACAAGATAATCCTATAGTAATCACTGCCTATATTGCAATTTGGAAAGTGAAGAAAACATTAATTGACAAAGGGAGCTCAACAGACATACTATATTGGTCTACCTTTATAAAAATGAAAGTTTTGCATGACCTAATTCAACCTTATCCTAATCCATTGGTATGCTTTGCTAGGGAGCGAGTTCACACTTGTGGTTACATCGATCTTTTGATCCACCTTTGAAAGAATAGGAGAAAGTAAAACTTTGATGGTAAGATATATATTGATAGAGGCTAACATCTCTTATAATGTGTTGATAGGACGACGAACCCTAAATGTGAGGACCCAGTTTAAGTGAGTTAAGAGTATAAGTAATATAATGAGAGTAATTTTGAAATTTTATCCTTTAAGTTAAAAAGAATTATAAATAGAAAGTTTAAACATTCCAACTTCATTCTCACAAAATCACCATCTCTCTACAACTATCTTTTCTCTACCTTCTCTCAAATCTCTTGCTCCATCTATCATCTTTTTCTATATCAAAGTGCACCTTAGTGCTCCTAAAGGAGAGGAGACCAATTCTACCTGATTAGAATTTTGAATAGAGTAAGTTTTTCCTTTCCTAATTTTAGACCAATTTGCATATTTTAGATTTAGGTATGCATGTGGGTTCTAGGGGGCTTGCATGTAGACTTTGTTGTGAAAAGATGCATCTTAACTAATTTAGAAGCATTGTGATATGATCAATTTGTTAATTTGAGTTTTTTATGAGTATGATCTATCTTCTTGAAAATGTAGGAGTTTTTGGGTTCTTTAACTTGGAGGCACTGTATTGAGCTAAGAGAAGTTATTTATTCTTCAATTTTCATAGTATTTTAGGTTAGAAGATCTGGATTGTGATGGTGACTTGGTCACATCGTTTGAGTTTCAGGAATTTGGATTATGTGATTACGTATGTATTCATTTGTGGGGATTATATTGAATGTGAATGTATAAGTAATTTATATGA